GGGATCGCTGAGCGTCGCATTGGCCTGATCATGGAGGTTGCTCGTACCTCCATGATCCATGCAGCTGCTCCCCATTTCCTGTGGCCGTTTGCGGTCCGATACGCCGCGCATCAGCTCAACCTCTGGCCCCGTGTCTCTGCTCCAAAGACCTCGCCCACACTCCGTTGGACGGGACAGCCTGGTGATGCGTCGTCGTTTCGGGTCTGGGGCACGCTCTCCCTTGTTCGCGATACCAAAGCGAGCAAGCTCTCTCCTCGCACTCTCCGCTGTGTCTTCCTGGGCTTCCCCACCGACGCTCCACCCTGGCAGTTCTACCACCCTGCCTCGCGTCGTGTTCTGTCCTCTCAGGACGTCACCTTCGACGAGTCGGCATGTTACTACCGACTTCACCCGCACGCGTCCCACCCGGTCCCCCTCGCACCTCTCTTCCTGGTACCAGTTCCCCCCCCGGTAGCCCCCCTTCCCCCACAGGGTCCTGCTCCCTCAGGTGTGTCCCAGGTAGACCCACCCCCCTTGGATGAGCCAGTTGAGATCTCTTCTGACTCCTCTGACTCACCTGAGGGGGGTGACGCCGTCGCCGACGACACGGCGACCACTCGCCGCACTCCTTGCTTGGAGACCCCCCCGGGGTTTCCCGCCACGGCCGTCTTCGCCGCCTCCGCAGCCTGCTGCTGTGGACTCTGGAGCTGAGAATACTAGAGCTGGGGCTGGGTGTGGTGAGTCTGGGGTTGCCCACTCTCCTCGTCCGGCTTCCCCCCCCGGGTTCCCACCTCTGCCGTCTTCGCCGCCTCTGCAGCCTGCTGCTGTGTACACTGGAGCAGAGACTGAGGGTACTGAGCCTGGGGGTGCTGAGACTGAGGGTACTGATCCTGGGGGTGCTGGGACTGAGGGTACTGAGCCTGGGGGTGCTGGGACTGAGGGTACTGAGCCTGAGGGTGCTGGGACTGAGGGTACTGAGCCTGAGGGTGCTGGGACTGAGGGTACTGAGCCTGAGGGTGCTGGGACTGAGGGTACTGAGCCTGAGGGTGCTGGGACTGAGGGTACTGAGCCTGAGGGTGCTGGGACTGAGGGTACTGAGCCTGAGAGTGCTGAGACCGAGAGTCCTGACTCTGGGGGTGCTGCGAGTTCGGGTGCTGACTCTGGGGGTGCTGCGAGTCCTTCTGGTGTTGGTGTAGTCGGAGCTCCTACCGGAGGACCTGGTACTGCTGGTGCTGGAGGTCCTGGAGCTACTGGTGCTGGAGGCACTGGCGGTGCTGCTGGTGCTGGAGGCCGTGGAGCTGCTGGTCCTGGAGGTACTGGCGGTGCTGCTGGTGCTGGAGGTCGTGGAGCTGCTGGTGCTGGAGGTACTGGAGGTGCTGCTGGTGCTGGAGGTCGTGGAGCTACTGGTGCTGGAGGTACTGGAGGTGCTGCTGGTGCTGGGGGTGCTAGAGGTACTCTTGGTGCTCGTGCTGCTGGTGCTAGAGGTGCTGGAGGAGCTGCTGGGGCTGGAGGTGCTGGAGGTGCTGGAGGTCCTGGTGGAGCTACTGGTGCTCTTCGCCACCTTCTCAGTCTTCAGCCAGGTGCTACTGGCTTCCCTGTGGCAGGTACTACTCTTCCGTTGCTGTGTCCACCGGCGGACCAGTCACAACCACCGCTGCTACCACACTCCCCACTGCCTGCTCCTCCTCTTTACACTGCGGTGTTAGAGTCCCTGACTGAGCGTCGAGAGCCTGAGACTCGTGCTTCCACCCCTGAGCGTCGAGAGCCTGACTCTAGCTTTGACCTTGAGCCTGAGCCCAGAGCTGCTATCCGTGCTCGTGTTCCTCGTGTTCGTCGTCCGCGTGCTCCGGCTGTCCCCGGCACTCACGATATGACACTCCGCCCTTCCTCTGTTCCTCAGCGTGTTGTCCTACCGTTACCTCCCGCGTCCTCTCTACCTGACGTTGCTGACCCTCCGTCTGACCTTGCTCGTGCGTCCAGTCCGACTGTTACTCGCCTTCTTGCTACGGTTGTGACGGACCCTACGTTCTCGTCTCCTGCTGCGTCTGCCCTAGTAGCTGAGCTCGTTGACTTTGCTGCTGTATACCGCCTAGACTACCTTGCGAGTCTTGTCTCTGACCCTGTCCCTGCCTGTCCTCCGTCCGTCGGGGGTGAGACTGCTCTTGGCTGTACTGCCCTTGACTGTGACGTTCTTGAGGACAGACAGGAGGAGCTGGAGTGCCTTGCTGCCGCTTCACCCCATCACGCGACCATGCTGCTTGCCCCTGAGGGAGACCCGGATGCACTTGGCATCCCCACCCCGCGCTCCTACAGGGAGGCGATTTCGGGTGAGTACTCCTCTCAGTGGCAGACAGCCATGGACGCAGAGATGGCTTCCTGGAAGTCCACAGGCACCTACGTCGACGAGGTTCCCCCACCTGGGGCGAACATCGTCAGTGGCATGTGGATTTTCAGGGTGAAGCGGCCGCCGGGTTCTCCGCCTGCCTTCAAGGCACGTTACGTTGCTCGAGGCTTCAGTCAGCGTGAGGGGGTCGACTTCTTTCAGACGTTCTCCCCCACCCCGAAGATGACCACTCTTCGGGTGTTGCTACACGTTGCAGCTCAGCGTGACTACGAGCTGCACTCCCTCGACTTCTCCACAGCTTTCTTGCAGGGTAGCCTTCACGATGCCATCTGGTTGCGCTGTCAACAGGGCTTCACTGGGTCGTTTCCTGAGGGTACCCAGTGGAGCCTCCGGCGACCGGTGTACGGCCTGCGTCAGGCGCCCGCGAGTGGCACGACACACTGAGGATGACACTTGCGGCTCTTGGGTTTGCTCCTTCGACTGCTGACCCGTCGCTGTTTCTACACACCGACACTACTCTGCCGCCGTTCTACATCCTCGTGTACGTCGACGACTTGGTTTTTGCTACTGCTGACACTAAGGCACTGGCCCTAGTGAAGGCGGAGCTGCAGGAGAGACACACCTGCACTGACCTGGGTGAGCTGCGGAGCTATCTTGGCTTGCAGATCACCCGGGACAGAGCACGCCGCACCATCACCCTGACTCAGTCACACATGGTGCAGCAGGTCCTTCAGCGCTTCGGCTTCTCGTGGTCCTCGCCACGGCCCACTCCTCTGTCTACCGGCCACTCGCTCTCAGCTCCACCTTCGGACGAGTCCGTAGAGCCGAGTGGTCCGTACACAGAGCTTCTGGGTTGCCTCATGTACCTGATGACGTGCACACGACCTGACCTCGCCTACCCTCTCAGCCTCCTGGCTCGCTACGTGGCACCCGGTAGACACCGAAAGGTGCACTTTGATGCTGTGAAGAGGGTACTGCGTTACTTGTGCAGCACATCGGGCATGGGGCTCGTGCTTGGAGGACGGGGTTCGGTGGTCCTCACAGGACACTCTGACGCTTCTTGGGCCGACGACCAGACGACTCAGCGTTCGTCACAGGGTTACACCTTCAGTCTTTGCTCTGGTTCTGTCTCGTGGAGGTCCACTCGCTCTTCTTCTGTGCTTGGTTCCAGCTGTGAGGCCGAGATCTACGCTGGGGCCATGGCTGCACAGGAGCTACGCTGGCTGACCTACCTGCTGACCGACTTGGGGGAGCGGCCTCGTTCTCCTCCAGTTCTGTACGTCGACAACAAGGCAATGCTTGCCTTGTGTCGTGAGCAAGAGTCTGGAGCACCGAACGAAGCACATTGCTCTCCGCTACTTTCTTGCGCGTGAGCTGCAGCAGCGTGGTCAGCTGCACCTTGCTTTCGTGGCCTCTCGGGCCAACACTGCTGATGTCTTCACCAAGGCCCTTGGGTCTGGTGATCATCACCGTTTCTGCACTGCTCTTGGGCTTGTGCCCACTCTGCCTCACCTGTTGGTTGCTTGACTTGCTCTTGTTGTACACTGATATATATCTTTATACCTGCATGTTTTCTCTTGCTATGTTGTGATCAGTGTACTGCCTTGCTATTATATACCTCTACATGTGAACTGGCCTTGTGGCCAGTTGCTTGTGCTCAGAATGCGTGGTGACGTTGTGATCCACCCTGAGCTGTGTTCTCTTCTGCAGGTTGGTCTTGTGACCGCTTGTTGTGTTTGCTATCCCCAACTTTGCCTATGGGGGTGTGTCAAATTACAATTGTGTCTCTAGGCTACAGTAGGGTCACTCCTTAGTGAGTACAACACTTTAGGGTTAGGTTTTCCCTACTTGTACTCATCTCTTGCCTAGTTCAATCACCCTTTCCTAGTTCTATTCTTGACAGGTGGTTCTCGAGGCTGGCCAGGGGCACCCAGCCATCTTTGGTCCGTGGTGTGATCTTTCCAGCAAGTCAAACGAGTAGAAATGTGGGCGAATGCATTGAGCGAACATTTATAGCGAAAAGACAAACGCTTCAGCGGTGCGTGCGAGCTAGCTAGTGCGATGCTGATAGCGAGGTTCGGGTTAGTCTTTAAGCGTTGGCCGCCTCGCCCAAGTCCAGCAGTGAAAGGTTTGGCAAAAGTGGCGCGTGAAGTGGCGAACACCGTTAAGCGGTAACGGGCAAAGAAACGGTTGGTCTTGCACGCGTTGCTTAGGTGCGTAGTTAGTAAGGAATCCCGAACAAATCCTTAAGGGTTCACTCTACCCGTATTATACTTATAATGACTTCTGTGCACTCTTCGATATTGACTTCCGTGCACTCGATTTACAACTCCACTTGCTGTGTCGCATCACAGATAAGAATGAGACAAAGGACCTGTCACCTTTCAGTATATTGCGGTGCGGTGCGATGTTGTGCGTGTCCGAGAGGCTCATTACGTTTGGAGGGTTTCGAGCAAAAACGCCGAAAAAGGTTTCACAACAGCCCGCACAAGTTTGTTGTGAGTCACCCGTCAGCAACTAGTCACACCAATAGGGCTTTCGATGGCTTTCGCAGCGCGCATTATTTCCATTTACCGGAGGACAGGACGTTTCCTGGCTGATTTATTACGCTCCCTTTTTCAAGGAATGGCAAATTTGACGAGAATTTCCTGTGAAATCGTAGAATCCGCATTTGAAGATGAGCAAGTCTACTGGACCTGGACCTGTCGCGCTGGTGCCGCACTCAAGCGAAATAGATGTCGTTCTTGCGACCAGCGGAGAGAGTGGCGATTTTTTCCAGTCGTGGTACGATGTCTTGAGGCCGTACCACATCATCGTGGTTCAGACGGGTCCCGAGGCATCCGCGAAGCTGAGAGCACCACCTGGACTTGATGTTGAATCGTTCACAAGGAGCGATGTCAAGCGGATGCTGGGAAACCGTTCTGCATGCATCTCTTCGAAAGACAGGTGAGCTCAGAATACTGCTGCCAAATAGGTTGCTGTCATGTAAGCTAACATTGGAGTAATTCCCTCCCTCCCCCTCTCTCCCTCTCTCCCTCCCTCTCTCCCTCTCTCCCTCCCCCTCTCTCCCTCCCCCTCCCTCTCTCCCCCGCTTCCCCTCTCCCCCGCTTCCCCTCTCCCCCGCTTCCCCTCTCCCTCTCTTCGCCTCTTCCGCCTCTTCCTCACTTCGCCTCTCCCGCTCTCGATCTTGAACAGTGCATGCCGATGCTTTGGGTGGCTTATTTCGAAGAAGAGGTTCATTTACACACTGGCCGACGACTGCTACCGTTTGAAGGGCTTTCCGGCTCCAGGATTGGAGTTGGATCCGGTGTTGAAGCACATTCAGAATCTTCAAAGACCAGCAACACCACTCCACTTTAACACTCTTTACGATCCGTTTGAGGACTCCACGGATTTTGTCCGTGGTTATCCTTTCAGGTATGTGCACGATTTCATTCTTTTTATCACTCATTCATGTAAGCTGTTCTCACGTTGGTGCATGTGTCTTGCAGTCTGCGGGAGGGTGTCAGGACTGTTATATCTCACGGCCTCTGGCTGAATAACCCCGACTACGACGCTCCGACTCAGCTTGTCAAGCCGAACGAGCGCAATCTTCGCTATGTAGACTGCGTGCAAACCATTCCCAAAGTAATACTGTTACTCACTGTTTCTGCGTTGTTCTCCAGCTTTACTACTGGGGTTGGGGGACCAACTGACATTTTGCATTTTGCAGGGTGCTTTGTTTCCTATGTCAGGATTTAACCTCGCTTTTGACCGTGAGGTCATTGGGCCCGCGATGTACTTTCCTCCCATTGGTGAAGGACAACCTTTCGGCTTTCATGATGATATGTGGGCTGGATGGTGCTCGAAGGTATGTAGCTGCTTTGAAATTTTGTAGCTGAGTTCTTTCAATATTATTTTGATGTGGGATGTTGTTTTCCAGGTTATATGCGACCATTTGCGGTATGGTGTGAAATCAGGGCTTCCCTACGTTTGGAGGCAAAAATCCGCAAATGCGTTCGCCTGCTTGAGGTAATGCTCGTCTATGCTTTTTTTTTTTATCCTGCCAAGCGCTGGCATGCTGATGTTTTCATTGCTGCAGGAAGGAGTACAAGGGCATCTTCTGGCAAGAGGAGATTGTACCATTCTTCCAATCCATGCAGCTACCTGCTGAAGCTTCAACGGTGGAGGCATGCTACCTTGAAATTGCCAAACAGGTGAGTGGAACCTTATCGTGTGTAACAGGTGGTGCTTCCTGCTTTATTTCCTGCCTTTCTTCCTGACCATTTTCCGTCCGGAACTACTTACCGTATCGTATTCCTCAGGTGAAGGAGAAGCTTGGCAAAGCAGATTCATCTCTTAACAAGCTGGCAGAGGCCATGGTTACCTGGATAGATGCATGGAAGACCATGAATTCTTCAACGCCTCCACCTGAGGTTGATCACTGAGGGTTTACGGTAGTAGTAGAGAAACAATTGAGCAACGTGTTCAGCTATACATTTGTTATACGCAACAGTAAACAGCCACATGTGCATACCTGAGACGCATGTTCGTCTTTTTGTTGTCACTTTTGCTGAAGCTGCTTTGTGGGAATACTCCTTTGATCACTTTGTAACCACAGTTTGCTAAGAGGCATTCCTGTCATGCATAGCAAGTTTAGAAGGTGCTTGACACTTCGAAGTGAATCATACCTTTACCTGATGCGCGAATCATACGGTACCTTTATGCGGTAGGTCAAAATGGGATTATATTGGAATGTTACATCCTGGTGAGCTTCTTACAATACATACTACAATAAATAGTATACAAAAGGTTCGTTTGAACTTCTCCAGGTTTATTGAATGTTGATATTCTTGGCAGCAATCGTGTAAGCTGCGTTGGTAGGATCACTGTTAACTCCAGCCCACGAGCCACCGTTGATGAAAGAAGCGTTCCATAAACTGGAGTATAAATAGACGTTCATAGAGGGAAAGCTGCTGCTCGTGGATTTCAACACCGTGCGCACGAGTTCGCCATCAATGAACCATCTGCAAAGAAAAACACGTCAGTAACGCCCAGAATAGGAACGTTAAGAACAGCACGACAAGAACATTTGCTCACTGAATCTTGTCATCGTCGTATGTAATGGCATAGGTATGGAAGTTCTGGCTGGCGTCAAATCCTAGGTCAACGACCACCTCGTGTCCACCAACTCTGACAAAAAAGTTAACATAACAAGTCATTGCATAGAATAGAAAATGGAAAAAAGCGAACACTTTAAGAAAAGGAAATTACCCATTGACATAGTAGTTTGTCTGAACCTGCATGTTGTCCTTGCCAAGCCATTCAAAGTCAATCTCATCTTGCGTTGTGCTTCCTTCGAGTGAGGACAAGTAGAAGGATGACACAATGCCGCTCGTCGCACCACTAGGAATCATCACGTCCCCTGAGAATGTTGTTCCTGTCGGATAACGTGATGAAGATCGCACACGAGCAGCTGCCACGCACCCGGGTAATGTTAGTGAGCATGAGTAAGTGATCCGGGAATACGATTTAAAAATGCGTACTTCCTGAGTCGTCCTCAAAAATGTAAAATCCGCGTCCGTCTGCATCTATGGACATATGATCCTCGACCCCAGCATCAAACACCATGGATGGCCCAGAGCTCATAACGCGGCTTGTTGGTGTAAGTTCAACTTTCTTGTGGTTCTTGATCTTGTGTCGTTTAGCTGATACCCTGTATAGAAAGGTTAGACCGGAAGAAGCATGAAGCAAAGCAATTTTGAGGTTCAAGAAGTTACCCTAGATTCGAGAAGGATACATGAAGGCAAATAATTATCGCCACGGTCAAAATGCAGAAGCCGAATCTGAGAGCCATTGTAGTAATCTGATGGTGGAACCAGTTGAGTTTCAGGTAGGAGAAATGGGGGGGTTGATCACAATGGTTAGAAATCCCTGAGTCGAGCATTTGTAGTTCTTGGTTTGGAACTTCGTCGCCGCGCTTCGCACACAAGATGCGTCGATAAAAGCAGTTAGCACACTCGTACAAAACAGTTCCATTTTGTACACATACGCAACATGTTGGCACACTCTATAATTGGAACTAAAGGTTTATATATTATTATCTAGTACAATTTATCAATTTATTTCAGCACATGTTTATTTCCATATCATCCATGCCGCACTAAAAAAGTGGTTCAAAAGAAGACAATAGATATTTGAAACGCCGATCCACATGACTTCACTCATCACATCATGCCCTATGTTATCAGGATAAATTATCCAGAATTTCCTGAATTCAGGATAGGTGTTGTGGGTCTGTCCTGAAAAAACAGCATTAGGGAAATACTTGTCCTGTAAATTCAGTATAGTGGTTATGTAGCGTACTGACAATTCAGTATAACGGTGTAGGTTCAGCCCTGATGATTCAGGATAGTGTCGAATCGAGCACTGAAGCGAGATGTACTACGAATTTTTTTTTCCGGGCCAAGTGTACCCACTCACCGACATTCGCTTCGCGCCCGCGACGAAAGTATGGAGCCAACGGGAATCGAGCTGGCGCCCTCTTGTGTACCAGGCCGACGCTTTAGTCGCTACACCACTTTGTGATGCCACATTACCTACAATAGCACTGACAGATCAGGGTACCTTACCATGTGTAGCCCTGATGAATCAGGGCAAAATCTGCTTTTCTACTAAACAGCCCTGATGCATCAGTGTAGCCTACAATGAATCTGAGGGCCTGCATCACATGTACCTTTTTAATCGTCAAACACTTTCACGCATTAAGTTGTGCCCACATAGTGACATTTAGTTATGTTGCATCAGCTGTGGGTGGAGCGGTGTGAAGGAGCTTTCCGTGGCTGTAAATTCCGCACGAGGCGGGTATTGCGGAGGATTGAAACGGCTTTGCGTATGCATGTGAACATCTACGTGCGGGCCTCGGCGAGGAAGTTGCAACAAAAGGGGAAGAAGCAGCAAGCCAGATGTCAGAATAAGGAAACATGAATGATTGTATTAGGGTTTGGGAGCAATACAAATAGGCAACCCTAGAAGTGTTGTACCCTATATGGGCTTACCCCACTACAGCCTACAGACATGCAATTCTATTTTGACACACCCCCATAGACAAAGTGGGGGATAACAAGAACAACCAATGGTCACAAGACCAGTCAAGCAAGAGAACAAAGCAAAGCAAAGCTCAGGGTGGATCTCAAGATCACCACGCATTCTGAGCACAAGCAAGCGGCCACAAGGCCAGTTCACATGCAGAGTTTATGTCAAACATCATACATGTTCATATTGTATAGGCTATAGTGGGTTTAGCCTTAGGGGGTACAACATTACTAGGGTTTCCTACTTGTATCACCCTGCTGCCTAGTTTCATCCATTCTCGTTCAGCTCTACATTCTAATATGGTATCCGACGCCTAGGTCAGGACCTAGGACCGACGTTGGTTAGGGCCCACCGTTCCGCCGCGCCCTTGCGCGACCGTGTCTGATAGTACCTCGCGCCGTCGAGCGCCCTTCCTAGCGCCGTCGAGCGCCCTTCCTAGCGCCGTCGAGCGCCCTTCCTAGCGCCGTCGAGCGCCCTTCCTAGCGCCGTCGAGCGCCCCTTCTAGCGCCGTCGAGCGCCCTTACTAGCGCCGTCGCCCCTTCTAGCGCCGTCGTGCGCCCCTACCCGCGCCCTCGAGTGCCTACCTACTCGCGCCCTCGAGCGCCACCCTGCCGCCCTGCCCTGCAGGCCGCGCGCGGGCCTCCTCTGCACCCGCGCAGCCGCCCCTGGACCCCGAGGCGCGGCCCCTGGACCCCGCGACGCGTCGCCCTGCTCGTCGCGACGCCTCTGCGGGACCCCGGCGTCGCCCCTGCCTCGTCGCGACGCCCCTACGGGACCCGCGCGTCGCCCCTGCCTCGTCGCGACGACCCTGCGGGACCCGCGCGTCGCCCCCGCCTCGTCGCGGCGCTTCTGCGGGACCCACGCGCGTCGCCCCTGCCTCGTCGCGACGCCCCCGCGCGACCCGCGCGTCTCCACCGGGACCCGCGCGCGTCGCCCCTGCCTCGTCGCGACGCCCCCGCGCGACCCGCGCGTCGCCACTGGGACCCGCGCGGAGTCGCCTCTGCTCGCCGCAGCGCCCTGCCCTACCCCGCGCCCGCCCTTGGGACGGCCGCCCCTGGCCCCTGGAGCAGCCGCCACTGCAGCAGCCGCCCCTGGCCCCTGGAGCAACCGCACCTACAGCCGCCCCTGGACCCTGGAGCAGCCGCCCCTGGCCACCCGGAGCAGCCGCCACTGCGGGAGCCGCCCCTGGCCCCTGGAGCAGCTGCCGTCGCGGCCCGGCCCCGCCCTGCAGCAGATGCCGCGGAGCTCCCTGCCGCGGCCCGGCCCGGCCCTACAGCTGTAGCGGCCCCGCTGTCGCCGCCGTCTTGCGCATGCCCTTCCCACCACTAGTGAGCACTGCCCTGCCCGCGCTGCTACCGCTGCTACTGCTGCTACTGCTTTTACTACTCCAGCTGCTACTGCTGCTACTGCTTTTACTGCTCCTGCTGCTACTGCTGCTCCTGGCGTGGCCAGATGCAGCTCCACGGCCGTCCGCGTGTGTCCCTCACGCCCCAGCAGCTTCGTGAGTGGTACGCCAGTTGGGGTTGTCGGGGTGGCCGTAGTGGGTGTCGTCCTGGAGTGGGTAGTTCGGGAGCTTCTTGTAGTGGCCCGGTGCAGCAGCAGCGTCGTCCGCGCGAGCCTCTTTCGCCCCAGCAGCTTCGTGAGTGGTACGCTCAGAGTAGAGGGTCGCTGAGTACTGCTCGCTGCCCGTACGTTATTAGCACGGGTGCCCGGACTGGTCAGCCTTGCGGGACGCGTGGTCACACAGAGTCCCACTGCTTCGCCCGTCTGAGCGACGCTTGGCGTACAGAGTTTGGCGACGACGCTGAGCTCCCCGACTGGGTGGAGCTACGTAGGCAGAGGGTAGATATCTTTGCTCTTGACTATGATGCTATCCTCACTGCCATGTATGCATTGTCTACTAGTGCTGAGGGTGCCTGTCACCTGTGTGTGCCGCCTGACCCCGGTATCCAGTCTGCTGCTCTAGGTACTGGTGAGGCTGCTGCTCTAGGTGCTAGTGTGTCTACTGCCCCAGGTCCTGGTGAGGCTGCTGCTCTAGGTGCTAGTGAGTCTGCTGCTCCAGGTGCTCGGGCGTCTGCGTCTGCTGGTACTGCGTCTACTGAGGCACTGCACACCTTCACACTGGACTCGGGTGCTTCCCGCTGCTTCTTTCGTGACCGCACTGTCCTTGAGCAGCTAGCTCGACCTG